GTAGATTGTTCGATGAACCAGGACTCAATCTCTGTCTCTACCTACCTTTATTACTGTGTTTAGAATTTTGACTCTGTCCCACTTACCCTATTTCGTGATTGTGTGTTAATGGATGCAGTGCGATTGCTGAGTTCTTTCCCCTGAATTACTTATCTTCTTTGGATCAATCATTCTAACCTTAGCTAAATTCTTATGTTCTGATAATCTCACTACCCTGATCTACTAGTTTGACCTATGTGGTTGACCTCAATCCCAGTCATTGCAGGATACTTAGTAAATTATATTATTTTCTTGAATCGGCCTATGAATCATCAAATGTATAAACTGAAGCTAATAATACGATATGGTATATTTAACATGATTTTTATAACCTGAGATTGAGTGTTTTTCAATCATCGCTCAAATGTGACTACTTCTCAGTTGTTTTTGAGTAGTCTGTCAGTCATATATGTTGGTAATATTCTGAACATTTTTTTTCTTCAAAATAATCAATACTTCAAAGTATCTAATACACTTATTAAAACTTATTCTCTTTTAGTGCTCGCTGCAAGTAAGTTAAGTGCAGGTAGCAGTTAGTTAAACTGCAATAGATAGTTTTTTTGTGTGTGTGTTAAATCTACTGAATTATTATTGTGAGTGCAATTACTTTACTTGCCAGGTGCTTAAGAGAGTTTCTACTGATCCAAAGTGCATTACGTTATTATTATTATCATTATTCCTTCAAGTTCCGAGTGGAACATAGAGCTTCAAAAGCAGTTCTCCATTTTTTAGCCCTGTCTGTGCTGGCTCCAAGAGTCTTCATAAGCTATCATTTCCTGCCTACATAATCGCCTCCGTCAAACACCCAGCTCGTTGCCTGTCATTCCATTTCAACTCAAGGGTACGCCTTGAGCGGCATATTTGTTGGGCGATAGATTCTCGGTTAGTTCATCGCCTGACACATTTCTTTGTTGTTAATCCTTTTGGATCAGCCAACTTATCTTCTGGATGCAGAGAAGACACAACGACATATCATCAAAAAATGTCAGTTAATTATTTGTCTCTTCCCGTTTTAATCACAAACTGATTTTAGTCAGAGAATCACTAAAAATTAGGTAAATATTGGACAGCTATTTCGTCTCAGTTTGGGACTCTTCATCAGTTCATACCTATGATACCGCCAGGGATCAGTCTTCAGACATTCAGGTTACAAGACGAGCTCGTCAGCGAATCGAACACTCGGAAATTATTTGTAAATAATAAGCGGTTCGATTAACATATGTTAGTATAATGTGTTCAGAATACATTGTAAATAGGTGTGCACCTTGACTCTCGTAATATTAAGTTATTATCGCGTCTATCACAACGGTTGGAGGCTATGTACATTTGGATGTATTTGGGGGAATCAATCAATTCATCAGTTTAGAAATGATAAGTCTTGTGTTCTCTCAAAGGCAAGACAACAGCTATCATATCGCATAAGAAGTATTTTGAATTAATATCAGTAAAAAGTTTGAGCATTGTGGATTAGATCAAATAAAGTATAATTATATGTCAATAGTTTACACACAATGATAAGTTTTGTTATTGACAATATTTTGAGCAAAATTACTGCCCGTGTTCACACCAGTGTTGGAATTGTTTGATTCACACATTTATGATTTGTATTCATTTCCCCTATCTCACCAATAATAGCTGACATATTCATGGATTATTGGGAAGAGAATGCCCTTAAACCATTCAGATCATCACTGAAATGTTGGTGGAGATATGTAGACGGCACACTAGTAATAGTGAAATAATAACGATATTGAGAAACTCTTCTCACACATAAACAGCCATGTCGACTCAATAAAATTCAATATGGAAGTAGAGAATGAAATTGGGGAACTGCCTATGTTAGACTGCAAAATACAAAGAATAACAGATGGTAGCATTAAAACGACGCTATATAGAAAAACTACACACTCTGGAAGATTTCTTGATTATCACTCAGCTCATCCACTCACGGTGAAACGAGGATTAATACAAGGTCTTGCAGATAGAATACGTAGACTTACAACAACGCCAGAGGACCAATGTAAAGAAATGAATTTCCTATTCAAAATGATACTTGAAAACAACTACCCAAAAGAATTTATAAAAGATAATATAAAAAAAGAGAAAAAAGAGGCTAAAACCGGAGAATAACAAGACAGTCACAATACCATAAAAAAATGGTACATCAGAGGTAATTCAAAGAAACCTCAAAAAAATATCGGCATTCACACAACTTTCAAACCGACAAATCTAATGAAAAATAAAATAAATCAACTGAAAGATTCCATAAAAATGATGGATAAAAACAACTTGATTTACAAAATATCTTGTGCTGACTATCTAACTAAATATGTGGGGCAAACGTCCAGATCACTCAAAATCAGAGTGAATGAAAATAAACGCCTAACGAAAGGTGAACCAACAGGAACACAAGCCTACAAAAATCTTGAAAAAAATTCATCGATAGCTGCACATGCATGAGACAAAAACCACAATATCGATTGGAACAGTGTGTGTATTCTAAAAACTAACATGAACAAGTGGAAAGAAAGACTTATAACCGAATCGATATTCATTAAAGTCACACCGGATACATGTAACAAGGGTGACTCAGTATAACTATCAACAACTTGGAATATAATTCTGAATACAAAAACATGAATGAACGTGGAATATAACTCAAATACAAAAACAAAAACATGAATGAGCAAAAGTAATGAACTATATATATGAATACAAATCATAAATGTGTGAACGAAACAATTCCAACAGTGGTGTGAACACGGGCAGTAATTTTGCTCGAAATATTACCAATAACAAAACTTATCATTGTGTGTAAACTATTGAAATGTTAGTATTTTGAACCTAGGACCAAGGTGATCAGTTTTACTGCAGTGTGTATGCTTCTGTTATGTTTAATCCAGTGGTTGCTGGCTTAATCTTCAAATGCGTAGAACATTGATAATTAGGACCGAAGACACATCCAAGTGGCAAGTCTTGTATAGGACGAAACATGAAGGCTATTATATCAACGCTTACATTCAAACCGCTTATACGCCAAAATGGTGTGAACGTGTTCCGTTCAGATAAATTAACAAAACGTCAGAAGTATTAGTGCCTATTCAACACATACACATTGTTGGGATGCACAATTTTTAAACACACCATCATTTTGCAATCTAATCAGTCCATCTTTCTCATCGCCAAACACAGAAAATGGGAGTAAGTCACTTAAATTATGTTCAATTCTTAATAATAATAATAATAATCACTTTATTCCACAACAATAGCAATTTACAGCATGGAATTTTCAGCGTTTCTTTTACATATTGCAATGGTTTAGCTCTTTTTATAATTATATAAATGTATAAAATATTAAAATATTGATAGTTAATAGGAAAAAATAAAATCCCCAACAAAATCACACCATTTCTAGGTCATAGTGAATAATAAATAAATAATATAACAAATCACACATGCAATAATATGCATCATTACATTTTATAGTTTAGTTAATGATTTAAAAGTTGTAAAAGTTCTTTTCTGATATTTGTCTCTTCCCACAATACTCGTGCCAAATATGGTACGGTCGAATTTTTATATTTTGTAGTACGAGCATAAATGTTTATGAAATTTCTTCTGGTCTTATCCGAAGAGATACAAGAAAACAATTGTGAATAAAGAGGATGTCCACGATCAGACAAGATAACTTTAGCTAAGTGTTTACAAAAATTCATATGCCTATTGACAACAGTGTCGGTTAGTTGAGTCAAAGGGATAGCACTGACCATACTTACAGCCCTCAATGTTCTTCGTAGTATTATGGTCTTTCTTGAGTAGCCCAAGGAAGAATAATGGAGAACAATAAAGACTGATGGGCAAAACACATGAATTTATAAATTGTATGAGAAGAGATTGGGTTATACCTGAGTGCCTCAACTTCTTTTTGTAATAAGTCAGACGGAAAACCTTCGTAGAAACTATAAGAATATGAGACGACCAGCAAAGGTTTGAAGAGAAACTAATGCCAAGATAAGAAACACTTGACTTACTCTCTATCATGGTACCATCAATATTACAACAATCATGAGATTGGATCAATCCATGCATGTCTTTCTCACTTCTCAAGCTGAAATCAACAGTATTACATTTAGTTGGATTTAGTTTAAGACGATTTGAGCCATACCAATCCTTAACTTCAGCTAAGAAGCCATTCATATGGGAACAATCCGATGTGGAAACTACAGGGACAGAAACGGTCAGATCATCAGCATACTTAATGAAGTTAACTTTGGGTTAGTTCGGAAGGTCATGCAAAAAGAAAGAGAAAAGAAATGGAGAAAGTACTGCACCTTGAGGCACACCACTTTCAGTTAGCTGAGAAATGGAGGGCTTTCCAGCCAAAACAGTATGCTGTTTCCTATCCTTAAAATAAGAAGACAGCCATCTAGTTGCCCATGCCTCTGTTTGTGCTGAAATCATCTTTCCTAATAAAAGTGTCCTAGGAACAGAGTCGAAAGCTGCAGTATAGTCTAAAAAAGCTGTTCGAACGAACTTAGCACCCTTATCAAGGCAGGAAACAATATTGTGGTGTAGTACAATGGCTGCATCTAATGTACGTCTTCCACACTTATAAGCAAACTGCTTAGGGTCACTAAAAGCTTTTAAAGAAGGTTTAAGTATGTTCAAAAGAAGTTTCTCCATAGTTTTCAAAAAAGGAGATGTTATAGCGACCGGTCTAAACTGTATACCTGCTCCAGAAGATGATTTCTCAATGAAAACAATATATTAGCGTAATCTCCTTAGTCTTTAGAGTGTCATTCTGAATTACTTTCATTTCTGGTGTCATGAAGTTAAAGATTTATGACTTGCAGAAAATGATTGTTCTGCAGATTAATCGTTGGCAATTCACAGTTCATATGTGCACAGATTTATCTTACGTTATATTATGTTATCCATCTAATCTGACCGTTCTATTTCAGCTTCCGGATCTACGACTGGCCGTAATTACCTTGGTAACCGTGAATTTTTCTTCAAAACTGTCTAACCGATTGCGTTGTTTAGTGTTGTTTAGTACTTGACCGCTCTGTCACTGAACTTTAATCTACTGATATTAATATTTTACAGGTTATTCCGACAACTTTAAACTAGCTATCTGAGTTGTTTCATAGAATTGTGGCCTTTTAGTTTCGCCTAAGAATTAATTAACAACGTTTTATGTCGACCAATAACAAAAAGGAACTTAAGTCATTTGGTGTCTTCCGAGTCACTGATTGAAGATGCCAGTTGCAAATTTCAAAAGATGGATTACTGAATAAAGAATATTCCTCTGGCTAACTTCTTCATCAGGTTCTACAGTTGTATATCCTTAATAATGAAAGAATCAATGTTACTGACAACATTTATGTTTTTCAAGTATTGTTTTCGTAGGGATTTTGTTCGATTGGTAGTTGGAGGATTTCACCATGAGCTGATATCAGTTAGAGAAACATCGGAACACCACCTAGGAGTACTGGGCAGCTTTTTTGTCCTAGTTCCGGACTCTTCATCGGTACACATATACCACAGGGGTTTGAATCCAGTACCTCCTGGTTATAAGGTGAGCTAGCTCGTAGACCATTAAGCCACTGGAACCGTATCCAATGGTCCATGAATTCTAACTTCTGCTAATTTGAGACAGTAACTCATCGAAGAAGACACCGCGAAGTGGTCACGCTATGTCATGATTTGGCAGAAGTTAGAATTCATGAGCTGGCCACTGGCTCGAGTCACAGTGTCTTAATGGTCTACGGAACAGTTGTCCAGTACTCCATTGCAGGTTTTCTAATGCTTCTCTAACTTTTGTCAGCTCACTATGAAATCTTCCAACCAATCGAACATTCATGTTTGTCAAAAGAAACATCAAGTCAAAGAAATCAGAAATCTAAAAGTTATTTGCGAATAGATTGTTAATGGATTACAGTCCAAAATACATATGTGTATGTGGTAATATGTATAACTGTGACACTAAATTGAACACCAATATTACAAAGGAACTGATTATAAATAACAACGCATAAATAGTAATAGAATCCCATGAGTCGTGTTCATATTAAATTCTCTTCATATTGATTATAAACTTCATATGGATGAATGAAAGTCTCAAGGATGTGATAGAAAAATCAAGGTGGAAGGTTATGTACGTTGAGTGAGTGCCAGTGTGTTAACTAACGGCTACTTTGAAATACGACAACAAAAGGTTAGTTTATGGAGGTGTAATAATAAAGGGTAAGGGGATTTATATATATACATAATGGAGGGCCATAGTTAAAAAGCCGACGTATTTATGAAATTGTATATTCCGCACTAGGCCAACGAAGCAATAATCGCTCAACCTATTTCTTTTTCACACAGCGCAATGGTTGTTTCACGCAAATTGCAATAGCCTCCGCTGTTGTAGTATTTGGTACCTGGATGCTTTCAGCTGTTTGTGTGATACCTGACAGATGACAGAGATTCTTCGATGCTAGTTTTACGATGGGTTTCGAGGAGATGATCTTATATCGAATTGTTGATGGTTTATAGCGCAATGTCCAACACAGATCGCTCCATAATCGCTGGTGAACTGACAGATACAAGAAGAGGTAGCTGGACTAAGTACTTCATCTTTTGATTGAGGGATCACAACCGGTCATATGGAAAAGATGACTTGTAGTTTGCCAGCGTTAAAAGATCTTTGAATAAATACTTTAAAAAATATTGGTAATTATATCACTAGGCATGTCACCCTTGAATTGCAGTCATTTTTATAAAACCTTCTTATTTACAGATTGAGCAAATCTCTTTTATACTTTCTTAGTCATGTGCTTCCTGATCAACTTCGCTATACATTGATTGATTCCTGTTACCTTATTTTGAATTTTCAAGATGTGGTGAAATCACTTGCAGGAGCTGATTCGTACGCTAATAATGTTTTTTCTTAAAAGATTTAATTATTCATGATAAGGCCGAGTACTCTTCAGTTTTCATCGTGCTGTGGTAAATAGTTCAGATTAGTGCATTTCACCACATAACATCGATAATTAATGACTCCAAACTATGGTCATATTACTAGATTAGATGCTGTCGCCTGTAGCCTTATTATTACCTAGTAATGCAACCGTCTTGATGCTATAAACAATGAGCTAGGCTGCCAGTTCTCTTCGCTTGGCTTGGCCTCAGGTCACCATATATGCTGCCATTATTTTCAATGATAACTACGTCTTTTTAGATTTGACACTAGTCAGTAATTAGTGTAATGTGTCTAGTCCTATCTTTAGTGAAGGCTGAATTCTATCAGTCAATTTCGCCAGGTGGTCACCATGCCAATAGGTAGCTTGCCACCACGGTGCACTATGCATTGTTGGCATTAAATGGTTGGAGGCAATCACCAGGAAGATTTGGACCTTATTTTTCACCTTATTTGGCACTCACCAGTCAGCAAGGCGTGTCTGCAATCTTGAATAAACGCATCCCTCTTCAGAGATTGGAACCCTTGTCATCCAGTCAGTGCTGAGACTGTCAGAGACGTTACCACTGTGCTATTTGAGCTCACCATTAACCTCTAGTAGGACTCTATTGGATATTTCATATTGAACACTAGTCATTATGGGTAAAATTTATATTGGTAAAGTCTCACAGTGTTGTTATACAGTAATATTTACTGATGACTTTTCGGGCGTAATTTATTGCTCATAATCATATCAAGGTACTGACACAACTTTCTAACTTCGATTATATAATTCCATTATTTTTCATAGCTGGACTTGATTGGTAGTAGTAGTGTAAAAACAGAAGACAAGAGCCAGGCAACAGAACGTTTATTACGGAAAATCAACACATATTTATAGATTTTGATGTACATTATTTTAGGTTAATGTTAGTAGAAAATACAGTCTGTTGATTGGTTGTTTCTCACACAAAGTTAACCTTGCATCTCTTGTGGCTGTGTCAGTTCATCTATATGTTAACTGTATCCGCTTGTCCATCTTGACCTTGTTTTCACATGACTAACATTGACCTCAATTACTGTCAACCAATTTGGCTAGCAACCAACTCTCACCACAGTAGTATTTTCCATATTTCCGGTTTGAGTGATGAGTCGTTCCTATTGCATGTGTTGGGTGTAGATTCTTTTAACAAGGCGGGGTTCAGCAATCAATCGCTCTCGCTCTTCACCTACCTAGATTTTTTTCTTAGAATTTTAACCCTCTCCTACCACTCTGTTGTGCGGTTACGTGTTAATGAATGCAGTAATATTGCTGAGCTTTTTTTCAAAATACTTACCTTCGCGGATGGGATGAATCATTCTAACCTTAGCTAAATTCTTATGTTCCGACAATCTGACTACCCCCGACCTATGATTATGATCAGTAATAAACTGTGCTCGAAACTTGATCATCAGTAAATATTACTGTGAGAATTTATCAAAATAAATTTTACCCACAATGGAATTATACTCTACCACCACAGTGCACAAATTCTATCATTATATCAATGGACACTAGGCAGTAACTAGCGTAATGTGCATAGTCCTATCTCCATCTTTAAAAACCTGTAGGATAGTAGTATATACAGTCTAAAAAAGTAGTGCTTACTAGCTAGATATAAATGACAGCCATTTCATCACTGGCTTATTTGGCATAGCTTATCAGGGATGCATTCAGTTGAAACTTGACCATTATTTTATGAAGATTTATTTTGTAATGAACAGTCTTCGTTTAGTTAGTCAGTTTACTCCAGAATACATAAAAAATTTAAGACTTTGAAATCCTATTACTGAACATAATGTTTTTGCATATAAGCGGTCTCCAGGTTCTTATTCTCCCGAATTATTACATAAAATCTTCTCCTACAAGTGACGAAAATATGTTGAACAAGCGACTAATATTTGTTTCTAATACATTTTGTCTTTAACTCCGATAGCATATTTTAAAAGTCATATAACACTGACCTTGAAAGCTGACAAAGTTATTGATCTATTTTATATCGATTTTAACAGAAATCAACCAGCCTGGAAGTAAGATATATTTCTACTTAAAACTTGTATGAAAACTATTTTCGCGTCAGTGTCATTGTTTGCCAACAACCAAATGAGTTTGATGCATTTTGCTTCTGTAGGTGTATAAGAAACTCCTACGGAGTCATATAGCCAATCAAGGATTTATTCTCCCACGAATATATGGTAAACGAATAACCTCCTCTCCTCCAGTAAAATGGTTCTTGTACACTGATAAATACTTACAGTGTTCTCAACATTCAATTTCTTTCCGGTATGCAGCAGATGAGGATTTTATTGGTGTTCACAGTTGTTCAGTGTAGTCAATAATTACTTGGAAACGTTAGCTACTTCATTGGCTATGATAATGTTTGCTAAAGCAAATGGCGATGGATCGGACAGTTGTGCGACATCACATGCCATGCTCTCGAGTTGGACCCGAATGGAGGAGATAGTGTTAGGTGAAGTTGAAAGCTTATGAGGGAATTGTGGGGCTAGCTAAAGAGGAATTCAGGGAATTATTTATAATCGATGAAGCAGCGATGAACCTGTAATTCCTGTTTCGTAAGTTTATATAAACAGGTTCATCCACAACCTTTTCGAGAGGGGATTTTATCATCCTTATTTTTAGCCAATGATTCCACCCTTTTACCACTTAACAGTTACTCGCCAATTACATCAACTCCATCAGAGGAATACTGCGGTTGGTGTGATATCCTCATGAAATCAAATCCGCCGCAAAAAGGTTTTGAATTTCAGTCTTTGTTAATTAATTTAATGGTTGGTTTACTGAGAGTTTTTAAAGTGTACAAGTGTGTCTCGTAGAAGATGGTAGTCAATTACACTTATTAGTATTCCTATTATTAGTCATTTTTCTCATTCGAGTGAAGCATCGTGCCTGAGCAACACGTCTTCATTCTACTGGGTTCTCAACAATCGCTTTCAGAAGGCGCTAAAACTGTCCACAAACCTTCGCTTCCCCTTCAAATGATCTTCTCTACATTCTCCTCAGACAGCTAAGATATTGCTTCACACTGATGTCCCACTTCAGAGCTTCATGTGTGATTTCACTTGATGGTCTCTTCAGCGCATTTCTGATCCATCTCCGAATTCCTTATTGATATATGTTAAATAGTAGATAGCTGGATGTTTCACTATCTGACTTTATCTTCAGGTAAATAAATAAAGGCAAGGATTAATGAAAGTTTGAATTCGTTCGTCAATGCTTCCAGTGACGCAGTCAACAAGTCTTATTTCTTCTGCTAAGTGCTGTAGATTTTTACGCAGAATGCCTTTTCGTTTTTTGACTGTAATGAGATTCCCCGAATATGTAGGTTTCATTTAACTAACTCATGGTTTAATTCTAAAGAAATTCTAATTTTCCCCTGATTTTTCTCATTATTTGCAAATAAATACCAGAGTGTTTGCATTCTAAATGTTGTTTTCTTATTTTGATTTCAGAGCGGCTTTGAGGTGGTTAAGGTAACTTTCTAATTTCGATTATCGTTCAGAACGGCGAACAGATTTATTTTATGTAGTCTGCATACATTTCTGGCGAAGATCACATTTTTGAGTATGTGAAATTTGAAAGCAGAATAGGATTTAAGTTTCAAAAAGAACGTTTCACATACATAAATAGTGGAGACATTGTAGGTCATAGTAGGGGTTCCTTATATATCATGAAAAATCGCAGGGGATATTTAAATGAATATTTCAGGTTTGAATTGGAATATCTGGGATCATCCTTATAATCTCACAACTGGAATTTTACAAGATTATTTACAAATTTCTCAGTGTTCATCATTAGCTAAAGAAATGGAAGGTATAACCGAGTTGAGTAGGCACAATTTATAAAAGATTAATTAATTCCCACTTATGCGTCAGACAGTGGGAAACGAGTAGACAGGGATATCCTGGACCAACGTGAAGCATCTAGAAGACCTGGATTTCGCAGATGATTTATGTTTGATGTCACAAAAAATTGAAGACTTACAATCGAAAACCGACAAACCGGTCGAAGAAACAGCAAAGACAGGACTCTAGGTGAACATCGACAAGACGGAGGTTATGAAAATAACCAACCAACAACAACAACAGCAGCAACATCCAGTGTCAATCACCATCAACGGGAGGGGATTGAAAGAGTTTACTTCATTCACTTATCTAGGGAGCATTGTCTCAACTACAAGAGGAACGGACGAGGATGTCAAATCGAGAATCGGGAAGGCGAGAAACACATTGATCAACCTGAAACCAATCTGGAAATCTTCGTCACTCAACTCAGCATCAACAACAAAATTCGGATTTTCAATACAAACGTCAAGTCAGTCAGTTCTTCTATTCGGATCAGAAACTTGGTGGGTCGTAAAGAATATTTCCAACAGCCTGTTGCAGACCTTTATCAACAACAGCTGTCTTCGCTCTATACTGAAGATCAGATGGCCGGAAAGAATCACCAACAAGAATCTATGGGAACAAACAAAACAAGAACCAATTGCTCAACAAATATGCAGGAGAAAGTGGAGATGGATCGGACACTCGCTGATGAGGCCGCTGGGTGACATCGTGCGTCAGGCCAATGCTCGAGTGGAACCCGAAAGGGAAGCGACGAGTGGGACGTTCCAGGGTGAAATGGAGTAGATCATGTGAAGAGTAGCTGAAGCAGTATGGACTAACATGAATGCAGTTGAAAAGTACAGCAGAAGACAGAAGCAAGTGGAGACGTGTAGTTGAAGCTCTTTGTTCCACTAGGAACCCAAGGGAACAATATATAAATATATAATGTGAGGGAAACAATTTCAAACAAACCATGATGGTACTTTGAAAATGTTGGGACTTATTATCTTCCCGTTTTTATGAAGTAATTAGCCATGTTGAAATTGGTTCCAAAGCTTCTCAAATATCAACTTCACTTACTTGTAAATACATATCTTATGGAAGTCAGTTTATTTTCATCTGAGAAACAGTATATAAGTCAAAGTGATAATATACGCCCTTTATGTCAGATTTCTCACTAGAATACAGTGTTTTATAATTGGACACTATTCAGTAACTGGTATAATGTGTCTAGTCCTATCTTCGGTACAGACTGAATTCTATCAGTCACGTTTGCATTGTGGCCACCATGCCACTAGGTGGCTCGCCACCATGGTGCTCTGTGAACTGTTGGCATTAGATGGTTGTAGGCAAACAATGGGGAGCCTTGGATACCAACTAGGTTACGTGATAGTTGGCGCTCACCAGTCAGCAAGGTGTATCTGCAAGCTTGAAATTACTCATGTCACTCATGAGATTCGAACCTGTATCAGAGACATGACCACTGAGCTATTCAGGCTGTGACTGACCTTCTGTAGGAATGTATTGGATATTTGTTTGATTGAACACTAGTCACCAACCAGTGTAATGTGTCTTGTCAATAAACATGATGCCACAGTAGAAGGTAATCAGGTATCTTGCTAAGTAACAGGTAACCATTAATAATGTCAATGCATATTACTATGTGATTCACTGTTCCCGACTTTATTTTTTTGTCTTCAAGGAGTACTCTCAATACCTTGTGGTAAGTCAACATATGATGAAAAATATTCCAGTTCGAATCATGAATGTGGTAGTCTGCTTACAGTAAACATATACAAGTCAATTCGCTAACAAAAATCTCCGTTTGTGCATTCAGAAACAGTTTTGAAACATCTGTCTCTGTAGTCACGCATGGTGTAGACGTTCCATGTCCCCATAAAGAATTTTTCTTTCGTCGTAAGAAAACTCAATAGTGAAGGAATAATAATAACAATGATGATATATGTCAGATTTACCACAAAATGAAAGATGGGCAAGTGAAAAGAAACAAGTTGGCAGAAGAAGTATCAAAGATAGCAATTCAGGTGAACATAGAGAAAACAGAGGTGATGACCATTCCTGGCCAACAGCAACAGCAACAACAACAGACAGCAATCAGCATAAATGGGAGAAATCTGAAAGAAGTAACCTCCATTACCTACCGGCCTACCTACCTGGGAAGCATCGTTTCAACTAAAGGCTGACGGAACTGATGAGGATATCGAAGCGAGCATTGGGAAAGCAAGGCGGGATTTCATTACTCTTAAGTTTGTGTGGAGGTCAGCAGCACTGAGCATGAAAAATAAGATCCGAATTTTCAACTCCAAAGTGAAGTGAGTCCTACTTACTATACGGATCAGACATTTGGCGCTGCGCTGCGTCACGGAGGGCACCTCGAACAAACTACAGACCTTCATCGACAGCTCAAGATCAAATGGCTGGCCAGAAAAAATCAGCAACATTGATCTCTGGGAGTCAACCAACCGAGTGGAAACCAATTTTGAAACAAATATGCACGAAGAAATGAAGGTGGATTGGACATACTCTGAGATAATCACCAGTTGAGTGACATCACACGCTAGGCCATCGCTCGAATGGGATCCGAATCGGCAGCGACGAGTTGGTCGTCAGTGCGAGGGTGACATGGAGTAAGTCATGTGAAGAGGAGACGTAAGCATCTGGGCTGATGTGTAGCCAGTTGAAAATGTTGGCAGAGAACCGAACGCAGTGGGGATATGCGGCTGAAGTCCCATGTTCCTCTAGGAACTAAAGGAAATAATAATGTAAAATAATAATCTATGTTTTCATGAGTGACTAGTATGATGATGATCAAAAAATCTTTGAACTTTAGTCGAAAACCTCTGTGATTTAATCTTAGATTAATATGTAAAGGAGATAAGTGCAGCCATAAATGAAACTTAACAGTTGGCTATTGAAATAGTTAATTAATGTGGTAGGATAACAAAATCTTGATATACTGCTACGTAGAGACCAAAATCGCGGTGTCGTCATCTAAATCCAAGAAACCAATTTTTGCGTTCTACTGTATAGCTTACCCAAACTTCTTTGGGTTATGCACAGTGTGCAAATATTAAGACGACAGTAAAAAGATAGCTATTTGCCATAAATTCTGCGAAGTAATTAATCTCCCTAGACTTCAGAATCTACCTTTGGGTAATCTTTAAAAAACATCCTGAAGCAATAACCTGCTCAATTCATGAAATCTTCCAGAATAGGCGAGTTAGTATATCTCATGCTCTTTGATGACCCAACGAGGATGGAAGCATGGCGCATTCTTCGATGGCCTCCTTGGCCTTACATTCACAATAATGCAACAAGTATGAGAGGTGTTATCCATTGTCCTTCACTTTGCAGGCCACATAAATTTACTCTGCTGGATGTCCATCAAAAAAGAGCAAAGTTCCACTTTTGTCAGTTCTAGCTCTACACTGAGGAGAAACACTTACATTTCTGTCTTGTTTTCATAATAATCAAGCATATTAACTCCTTCAGAGACACAATCAACTTTGATTTTTAATATATATGAGCAAGTAGGATAATGTGACTGCCTATCGTCATCATCATCACCCAGGGAAAATCCATCAATATTATCCCCGATTCTTAGGAAGCGTTGCAGTTCCGCTTTCTGTCTTGTCTGAAATCACTGAATTATAATTCCCATTTCTGTACAAACTCATGTAGGGCTACTCTAGAGTTAGACCTAACATGATCAATAACTAGTCTTAAAGGAGAGCCATGCAATAAAAATAAATCAAGAAAGCCTTGCCGTGTTTCTGGAGGTATTTCCGATGGCGACATACTCTTCTTCTCCACAGGAGTTCCCATAACCGTCTTCCTTGTATCTTTGGCAGTTATACTGATTAGGTGTGTTAAGTGATTCATGGATGAAAATGCTACAGGATGAATCACTGGCATACTCTTTCAGGAAAATAGTTATGAATTTCAGCAGTGTGCCTCATCTTTTAATTGATGCATTTTTCAATGTATTTATCTCACTAATATTGATCATTTAGCACACTGAATACTTACCTGTAAGTAAAGAAATCTGCATTTCTCTCGTGACTGTTATTTATTCTAGTTTATAATGAAATAAATTCACAACACCACAAAATAGATCCCAGTTTGTTCCCAGGCTATTCACGAGCTACCGTACAGTGTTAGTAAGAATACTTGTGTATCTGAAGCTAGTAGGTGCACTCTCATGACATCTTCTTTCAATGCCCATCTTTAACAATACATGTGTCTTTATTCACAAGAAATCTAGTCAGACATCTTTCTTCAACCATTGTCAGAACTAGTCTTCTTCATTCTACAGTCGGTTACCTCATGGCAGTGTCTAGTGAGAGTAACTTCTTTTCAGAATAAACAAATTTAGCCTGATCACTTTGGCTCGTGATAAGCAATCCTTCTGATTTATATGATAAAATGAGTTCGGCGTTCGTGTTTCAGTCAGTAATGAACAGTCGTTTCGTCAGCAGTGCGCATCCATGAGCCTACCAGATATTTTAAGGTGGTAGGTGAAAATCTCTGTGAGTGCCCACTGATGACCATTCTCAAACTAGGACGAAATAACTGTCCAGTGCTCCCTGGTCTCTAAAAGTGACATAACTTATATCAATCCGTCACCAAACTTGAAAACAAATCAAAGCCCTACAAAATAACTTTTGAAAATTAACCTGATACTCGCTAGTAACTGGTTGCTGGAGGAAGTTGCTCGGAGTTCTAATGAGAAGTCGTGATCATAAGAGGTTCACCCGGTAAGGAGTGGGGATAATTACTCTCCACTGATATTGGCTGATTGGGTGATTGGGTGAAAGTTAGAAGGTATGTGCTATTCGACTGGGTCTCAGTTGCTGAAAGGTCTGAGAGCATGACTTGTAACCCCGCAGTGTGGGTGCGTACTGATGAAGAGTCCCGAGCCAGGAGGATGAAACAGCTGTCCAGTACTGATATCAATCCGTGGCCGAACTTATAGCGAATCAAATCCCTATAAGGAAACCAATGAAGTTTGAATCCTATTTTCTGCCAATTCGTCATATGTAGCTCTACCGCAATAATTTCTTCACATTCTAAATGCGATTCCTGGGTGCCGATCCACAAGTAGATCATTAATGAATCATAGATTAATTTTTCGTTCTAATTTACGTAAATTTGTAGTCTTGCCGCCAGAAATTAACATTTGTTTTTTATATTTTTCACTGTTTATTTTATTAGTGCCTACTTACCATTCCAGTAATCGACTATGTCAGTGTCAAATATATACAGTGAATTTATATATATTTTGTAGATTTTTTTTCCTGAAATTTGTAATCCTCTAATTAATTCAATAAATGCTTTCATCTTTCACACGTGTTTCAGTATTTCAAATAACAATCAGTTACCTGAATGATTACTGGAACTATTCACGCAAAGTAAAATTCAGTCTGATTGTCCAAATACTTTTTATTAATGCTAGGAAATCAGATCGTAGGTTAATGCTACTGAAAGCCTGAAAGTTGTAGGCAGTCTACACTATAAACCAGGAGTGATTCATCCTCGTCTCAGTGGTCACCATGATTGTCAGTCAGCAGTTTTGATGATCACATCAGTGGTTCATCGGTAGAACGCTCACCGACCAGTCGCATGGTCAGCCTACGCACTTCTCAGCCCCTCTAAGCCGGTAGTAAGGTCGGTAAAGATAGAAGGTAGGGCATGTGGTTAGCTAGCAACCCCATGGCGTAAAAATGAAATCAATGCAAAAGAAACTTTGAAGCTGTGTCCAAGAGCCGCATGTCCCATTGAGAAGGTAAATGTAATTTCTAACCACTCAGCAAACTTTAGAGATAGGACGAAGTCAGTCATTGTCAGCACTAAGAAACAGATAGGCAATAACTGAAAGCTGTCCAGGCGACAATCAATGTTGTCAAAAGACCCCATAAAAATAAAATAACTTCACATATATTTTCGTTTTTGTATACTACTTTAAAGAATATAAGTACTAACCTGAATTTAAAGAAAAGAAAAATTTCAGTTGAGAGGCCAACAGTTGAGGTGCCACTGATTCAAAGGAAACGACAATAGATATTAGGATATACATTTTATTCCTTTACATCCTCAGGGGAACATAGGGCTTCAAGCTAGAGCTTTGAAGTTGCAGTAGCAGAGGAGTTAAATTTTACGGGGTGGGGTTACAAGCCTAATGCCCAACTTCCCCTATCTACCAGTCAAATTACTGGCTTGGTGAGGTAAGGGTGTACTTCTGTTTCCGGCGATCAAACCCCGAACCACATGCGTGGTCGACGAGCATTCTACGGCTCTGCCACCGACGCACATTTATAATTCATGCTACCAACAAATATACATGCAAGCAAAGCTTTAGCATAGACTTCCCCTCAGTTATAAATCATTGTTTATTTTCAAGGCTTGAAGGAGTGTCAGCCTACTGAATAACTTCAAACATCATTATTAATTGTTGTTGTCTAAATTTCCTCTCTCTCCTTATTCATTTTTCACTGGCGGAGTAATCATTTTCATGTATAGAGTCTTTAGTTCTGCCAGAATTTGGTCTATTATCCTCTCAAGTATTTCGCCATCATTCAACGTCTGCATGTATATGTCAAATATACTTGTCTATCAGAACATCAGCCAGGTTAAAGTCAGGTCAGTAATTACCAAGGGATGTCTTCTGAAGATAAAACCACTTATGTTTGCATAAATGCAAAAAATCAAAACCAAGGTGTATTGTTATAATTATCTAAGACATAGGCAACATTTGCACTAGTTCTCTCTGAATTACCAGTCCGCCACTCAACCAAGGGACCTATTGAAGATAATAAGTACAAGCTGGTAGTAGAAGAACAGGATACCTTTCCTAAATGATATATTTTGTATTTTGAACTAAGTACTTACCATGCAATTTTGCTTCATTTTTAACAACCTGACTATTAAGTTCAAGGGAGTATCCCCAACAGGTGATTGTCATGGTGTATGCAGTAGTGATATTACCGGTTATAAGCAATAAGAAGTACATTCAGTAATGAAAAGTACCCTAACTGTTATACCCGTTTGTAAAAAATTATATTTGTGAACTCTCAGCGAGATTGAAATGAGTAATTCCAACGTTTCGTTCTGCAAACTGGTGGTCCGAACTTCCTCAGGGAAATTAATCGAAATTAACATAACATAGGTTTATATATAAAAAGGAACATCTCTTGTTTTTAAAACTTTGTCCAATCATGAGTCATTCAAAAAGTATCAACTAGTATAATAAACGAAATTTGATGAGCTGTGATCAAAATTTGACCTCGGACTTACAAATATTGGTCTACCTTTGTTAAACACTTTAAACAGAGTGTGTATGTGTGTGTGGGTAAACAGTTGCAAGACATTTCTTAACGTTTCCATAAGAAGATATGGACAGTCGAGAATTTTAACCAAGTATTAATAATTGGTGATACATATCCATTGTTATTTATTAATAAGGATTTCCTATGCCTCGGCTAACATCACGCCTTCATGTCTGTTCAAACTGCTAGTATCTAGAATTTTATGATTAGACGTATTTTCAAAATTATGGTGTTTAGGATTAGAGTTTAGTAGAAGCACACTGTCGGACTTATTGCTTTGTCTTCTTTCTGAAGATTGAGCTGCTTTATTCGACCTACTGGAGTTGTCAGGTGACTCGACAACTATTCTGTCAAATCTTGACGACAGTTCATTTGAATTATTTTGCAATCGAATTACATTAACAAAAAAACTGTGTAACCGGCACAATCATCGTGATTTCAATCTCCGTTGCCTGCAACAGAATGCATATCCTAAATCCGTAGCTGTCGAGTCACCTGACAACTCCAGTAGGTCGAATAAAGCAGCTCAATCTTCAGAAAGAAGACAAAGCAATAAGTCCGACAGTGTGCTTCTACTAAACTCTAATCCTAAACACCATAATTTTGAAAATACGTCTAATCATAAAATTCTAGATACTAGCAGTTTGAACAGACATGAAGGCGTGATGTTAGCCGAGGCATAGGAAATCCTTATTAATAAATAAAAATGGATATGTATCACTGATTATTAATACTTGGTCAAAATTCTCGACTGTCCATATCTTCTTATGGAAACGTTAAGAAATGTCTTGCAACTGTTTACCCACACACACATACACACTCTGTTTAAAGTGTTTAACAAAGGTAGACCAATATTTGTAAGTCCGAGGTCAAATTTTGATCACAGCTCATCAAATTTCGTTTATTATACTAGTTGATACTTTTTGAATGACTCATGATTGGACAAAGTTTTAAAAACAAGAGATGTTCCTTTTTATATATAAACCTATGTTATGTTAATTTCGATTAATTTCCCTGAGGAAGTTCGGACCACCAGTTTGCAGAACGAAACGTTGGAATTACTCATTTCAATCTCGCTGAGACTTTACAAATATAATTTTTTACAAATGTCTACTTCTCATTCGGCGCCCAAATATTTCAGAACTATTCTGTCAAATCTTGACGACAGTTCATTTGTGTTATACCCATTGTTCAAACAGAATCACAATAATATCAGCTAAAAGCAAAAACAGGAGGGTAGAACTTGGGCACTGTGGCAGAATGTAATTCTCTATTAGATAAGTTTATTTTAAACACCACACACAGTGACGATACAGTATTAACAACTGGATGATAAGGTTTCAAGCAAAAATTATTACCACTCATGATCATATCGATTTAGTTAAATGGCTTCGCAATTTGTCTTATGTCTGCAGTTTCACTCTATCTCTCTTCGTCTCCAGCTTCTTTCTTTTTTGTTTCCACTTTCCATATCTCCAGTATAGGCGTTTCATCATTCCGATTGCCCTTGTGCGATGTTGAATCGATAAACAAAGCTTTAGGGATGAAACTCTCTGTCTGTCCACCTAACTATACTACTTTTTATTACTTTCACTCTTTCCGACCCACCTACGGCATCCAGTGCATCTTTTATTCTCCTCAGAATGACTTGACATATTATTGTACTCAGTGTGTTCAAGAGAACTATTCCACGCCAGTCAGTTCTTGCAGAGGACTAACTCGCCCTTCTTTGCTATCTTGACAAGGTAAGCAGCCTTTCTCTCAATCAGTAGACACCTTTCCTTCCTTCTAAGCATTTTGCATAAATGGCGTAAGCACAGCTGCCGCAGTCCCTGGGTCTGTTTTCAGTGCTTCGCGGTGAGGAAATTCCGTCTGGTCCTGTTGCCTTCTGGACTTCAGTAGCTTGATCGCATTTAGGATTTCTGCTTCCGTTGGAGGACCGGTGTCCACTGGCAGGCAAATCTGTGCATGATATTGGTGGTGATGTTATTACTGGGCTAGTTGCAGGTGGTGGTCGATTTAGGAGTCCTTTGAAGTAATCAGCCTATTGTTTTGTCTTTGCCTCTTACTTGTTAACTAGGTACCCTTGAACAACTTTTATAAGTTTCATCTGATTTCATCTCTTCCCGGATAGAGAGGCGGCTATCTGACATAGTTTCCTGTCACGAAGGTTATAAAATAAATAAACGCACAGCGAATGAGTGAAAATGGCTAAACAGTGTGAAGTTACTTGCCTAAAGTCAGTAGAACAGTAGACAATATTTGGAGTATATACCACTCAGAAACACTAAGAAATGATTTTATCCCTTAGCCTTTTTTAATTCCTTTAACTCCCAGTGGAACATAGGACTTAAAGCTAGAGTCTTTAAGTTTCTGTAGCAGTGGTGATTATTTTTACAGGATAGGGTTGCTGGTCTCATGTCCAACCTACCCTCTTTCCCAGCCTTATTATTGGCTTAGCGAGGTAAGTGTGTGAGTCTCCCGGGGATCGAACTCCGGCTCTTGGCCCTGCAGGATACAAACTGGAGATATGCTCCCAGTAATAATTCATAAATAGACTTGATTTGTTTCTCAAATTGTTGAAGTCTCTCTCTCTTTTGCTAGCTTCATCAATAAATTCGCTCTGATAATTTGTTCTACGTGTCATGGACATTGGGTAAACAAGAAATCTACCAAAATGAGTTAATAATAGTATGATGGTGATTGTGTATTTTGAAAAATCAAGATGTTTGTATCTTTAAACTTCAAGTAATGCTGAACAAGAAAACAAGAACACGATCGATAAAGTGTTGACAGCTGTCAAATAAAAAACATCTTATGATACGTAATAATTGTGTTGAGTTAGATTGACAGGAGTACATTGATAAAAAACGAAAAAAAAATAGTACTGTTGAATTTACTCTGTGAAAAC